ATACTGGGACGAGTTCGATATGAAGATTCATAGACTCGAATCGTCACAATTACTTCGACTAATTAATACTGTGCCACGTGTCGCTAATAGACAGTGGACTTAGATTGACACGTGTCGCGTACCCATTGCATGGGTGAGCGTCGTTTAGATCTGTGGGTTTGAGCGGTTAGACTTAACCATAGCCCAAACGTCACACTGGAACGGGGCCTTCTCAAGCCCATTGCCAAGTGAGTAGCCATCGCGGACCATCGATAATACCCGCAGGGTTTTTGATCGACGGACGTGCTCAAACTCCGAAGTTTATCTGACTCGGCCGGTACCTGTTTCACGATCTGTACCGTACGGCACTTGGTCCAAATTCACAGCAACGTGTAGTCTCAACAATTTTACCTAGGGACCTCGACTCGACCGAGGTAGTAATACCGATTTTACGGAGGTCTATGGAGGTCACCAGAATAGAGAATTTGTTGATCGAACCGAGCGGCGCTCGCCTGTCAAACTTCGGAAATACCTATATTCGCGAGTTGCGCCATAGCGGTCCTGTGTTGCGTGGTTCATCCCTCAAGCACCACTCGTGCTCCCGCGTTAGTCGCTCTTGTCAAAGCGAACAGATTCACTTGTGCCCTCAAAGTGTGCCGGACCTCCCTCAAGGTTATCGTACTCACACCGCTCGGGTCTTACACTTAAGCTCCACACCATCGAATCACAAATTCAACCAAGAGTCTTCTCATCCCGCACGAGCTCTCTGCAGCTCGTGAACTGGCTCCAATCGGGCATGTCATGCTGTGTGTTGCCCGATCAGACAACCACACCTCTTTGTGCACATCCCCATCGTCAGCCCACGCCGTCAAGGCTACCCCGTTTGCGTCGGGCCCTGCAAACACTCTCACTTCTGTGTGGCCCTTCTTCATACTTGCGACACTCAGCATCGCGCAACCTGCATTTTGCCTCATGTGGCCCACTTCGGCACAACAATAACACATTGGCGGGTTTGAGCTTCCGCCCCTCACCACCGAGCATCTTCCCAACTCGTTCGAGCTTCCCGGCTCTTCTCTGAGCTCGAGTAGCCCCTATGCTTGGCGGCATATGCCCATGTTCACCGAAGTCCACTCCGAGATTCCCGCTTCAGCCCTCAACTCCGACCGTCTCATGAACCAGGTTAATCGAGTGCCGCAGCCTGTGCGCAAATTTAAGCCGATCGCGCCCGGGCTTGAACTAGCTTGATTCAGTAAGCCACACTGAGTGTTCATTATGTGGTAAAACCGATATCATCGGTGTATGTTATTTTATCCCGATCTAGTTTCTGCATCAGAAGCGGAGCTCTAATTGCATGCACTTCACAGATTAGGTAGCGCAGAGCGGTACTGAGTGGAGGATCCAAAACTTGGTTAGGAACGTATCAACCTGATGATCAAATCCTCTCCAAGTGGGAGACCTCTAATTGGGCCAGCATCCTTGTTTTTGGTTACGAGAAAACCAACCCGGCAAACTCAATTATTACTTCGATTCAGTGCTTTTATGGATAATGTGAAGATCGCCAGTGGTATGCCATCCTGGGTCACGTCACTGGCGTGCAATACATATATTGAAGAATATAACTGCAGTTTCATGTCAGTATTTTAGAGGAGGATGAAACCTGCAAAGCGTAGATACTTCTTCAATTGCATTCATGTGCAACCTCTAACAATTGTGCCATTGTCAGCTGCATCAGGCTGCTTTTCTCAACAACATACTGAGTGAATGTGCATACTAAAGGTTTTGTTCTCTTTAGTAAGTCATCCTTTAACTGCATGGGACGCTTTCTTCCCATCTACAGACTCCGGTTGCTCAATGGCCACAAAGAGCCCCTTATACTCCAAGAGGGCTTGAAACTTGTCCCTCCATGTTGGCCAATTCTCTCCCACCAACT